TTGCTCATATTTATATGGAAGCATCCCCAGGTAGTGTAGATTCAAGTTTGTTCAAATCATGACCCCCGGGGGTAGGGCGGGGCCACAAGGGCCGACCAAAGTTTTATATAGAAATATATAGAAAAATTCTTTAAAAATCTTCTTCTCAAGAACAGCAAAGCCTTAATTGCTCATATTTATAAAGAAGCATCCCCAGGTAGTTTAGATTCAAGTTTGTTCAAATCATGACCCCTGGGGCTGGGGCGGGGCCACAATGGCCGACCAAAGTTTTATATAGAATTATATAGAAAAAAATTCTTTAAAAATCTTCTTCTTAAGAACAGCAAAGCCATAATTGCTCATATTTATATAGAAGCATCCCCAGGTAGTGTAGATTCAAGTTTGTTCAAATCATGACCCCCGGGGGTAGGGCGGGGCCACAATGGCCGACCAAAGTTTTATATAGGAATATATAGGAAAATTCTTTAAAAATCTTCTTCTCAAGAACAGCAAAGCCATAATTGCTCATATTTATGTGGATGCATCCTCAGGTAGTGTATATTCAAGTTTGTTCAAATCATGACCCCCGGGGGTAGGGCGGGGCCAAACTTTTGGATTTAAACTTTTCAATAGTAAACCAATTTCTACTTTTTCATAGCCACAATGCTCGGGTGAGCGATGTGGCCCATGGGCCTCTTGTTTTTCCACAAATTACCTGCACAAGGGTTTGCGATAAAAGTGAATGATCGTTTAAAAAGGCCAGATTATTCTCTACGACTAAAAGAATAATAATATTATAATTATTATTAGAAAATAAGATATCATTTTTAGAGTTTCATTGGGATATGGCGTGAAGTTGGTCACGTGGAAAAAAAATATTAACACCATTTCACAAAGCTATCACTTTTCGAAATCTGTTGTTTGATTGGATGTTAAATACAAAGAAAAATGTAGTCCTGAAGACAAAATAAACCACCAGAATTAAAAATCACAAAAACCACAGCAGTCACCAGAATTATATTCATCCCTCTAATTTTTGTACTGGTAGACAAATCAAAGGTTTGGTAAAAAGCATTATAGCTGCTGACAGATAATTCTTATTTATCCAGAACAGCTTGATCGAATCGAGGATGACATGAACCAGATCAAGGAAGACATGGAGGACGCAGAGAAAAATCTAGAGGGGCTCCAAAAGTGCTGTGGACTGTGTGTGCTACCCTGGAAAAGGTAAATCGTTTACTGACTTAACTAGAAAAAACTTACGACTTTTCAACACAACCATTCCCCACGAAAAATTAAATTCCAGACTTTTTGATATCATTGACAGCTTGCTTTTTCAGTAAAAATGGAACTCGTAAATTTACTTACCTGGTCATTGGTCATTTGCAAAATTATTTTGTTAAAACACATTCTGATTGCACACACAAGTACCCTGAAGGCTGAAGATGACATCAAAGAGATGCTTGAGTTTCTGATTGACAATATCTATTTTGGAGACCAGGTCTTCCAACAATCTATTGGAATTCCCATCGGTACCAATTGCGCTCCGTTATTAGCAGACCTATTTTTCTATTCATATGAAGCAGAATTTGTGCAAAATCTTATGCGTGAAAACAAGAAAGCACTTGCTGTGGCCTTCAACTCGACATTTAGATATATCGACGATGCATTGTCAATTAACAATAGTAATTTCCATTCCTACATTGACACGATATATCCTGGTGAGCTTGAGATAAAAGATACCACAGAGTCTGACACATCTGTTTCATACTTGGATATTTTCCTTGAAAAAGACGTTAATGGTAATCTAACAACCAAGCTCTATGATAAACGTGATGACTTTAACTTTTCTATCGTCAACTTCCCTTACTTATGCAGCAATATACCTTCATCGCCTGCATACGGAGTATAAATATCTCAGTTGATTCGATATGCAAGAGCATGAACAATTTCTAAAACGAGGTAAATTATTGACAAGTTAGTTGATGGAACAAGAATATCAGCAGTCTCGTTTCGTAAGTTCTATGGTCGATACAATGATCTTGTCAGCAAATACAATTTATCATTGGGTCAAATGCTGACTGACGTTTTCATACTAGTTGTTAGTTTTTTATTCATACTGTTGTGAGATGTGTATTGTTTCATTATGTATATAATTAGTAACATTTAGTTTCTTGAACATTCCAGAGTGGTCAACATGTTCGGTCATTTGATCTAGAACATTCTTAAATTTTGTGTATGTCCAGATTTTTCCAGTAATATCATGTTTTAACAATTTCTAGAATATTCTAGATTTATAATACTGTATAAATACCCTGTCAATTCGATGCATAGAGATACTTTGTCGTATAAGCACTATTGAGATATAACTGGGATATATTTTCACTGGGACATTGTGTACAGCAACGGACACTCTGATGTATGTATTTTTAGATTCTTGCTAAGTTTGTACTTTATGTTTCATATACTTATTATATATTACTGTAAATAAATTATTGTTAAGTTTAAATTGTGTTATTGATCTTTGCTGGCATTTCGGGTAATTCTGACCCATAACAGAATTGGGGGCTCGTCCGGGATAAAGAATTATTTGCACTTTTGCAGTTTATTATCAGAATTTTTATAATTGAACCTTTAAATTTGATTATAAGCCAGCAGAAATCAACATGGTGTTTTCGGTCACAGACTTTCTTAGTTCACCAAGTGTTCAGGTTTTTGATACGTTAAAAAAGGATGACTTGATCGCATTAGGTTTGCATTTTGGGTTAGATGTTAAATCCTCTCAGAGAAAGCAAGACATTAGAATTAAGGTTGCAAACAAACTAGTAGAAGAAAACATCTTTGAAAAATACGATCTTCCAGAATATACAGTTAAATCAGAGTTAGGCTCTTACAAAATGGCAGAATATCAGTTTCAATTAGAGTTAGAGAAAATGCGATTAGAAAGAGAAAAATTAGAAAGAGAAGATCGAGAAAAAGAAAGAGAAAGAGAAGAACGAGAGCGTGAATTAGACAAATTAGAAAGAGAAGAACGAGAGCGTGAACGAAAATTTGAATTAGACAAATTAGAAAGACAAGAGCACTTTGAGTTAGAGAAATTAAGATTACAGCACCAACCAGAACCGTCATTTGTCAAGAATGAATTTGACGCAGCAAAAAATATTAGGTTAGTTCCGAAATTTCAAGAAAAATCTGTAGACAAATATTTTCCCCAATTCGAAAAAGTCACAGAGAATCTTAAATGGCCACAACACGTTTGGTCAACAATGTTACAAAGTGTACTGGTTGGCAAAGCAGCTGAGGTATACTCTGCCCTAGGGGTAGCTGAAAGTTCAGACTATGAGAAGGTCAAAGCAGCAATATTAAAAGCATATGAATTAGTACCTGCAGCATATAGACAAAAATTCAGAAAGTATAGGAAGTTTGATAATCAAACATTTGTTGAATTTTCACGAGAGAAAGAAGATTTATTCGATCATTGGTTTAGATCTAAGAATCTTGATAAAACTTTTGCTAATTTGCGCCAAGTCATCCTGGTAGAAGAGTTTAAGGAATGTGTTTCTCAAGATTTGAAAACACATTTAGAAGATAAGAATGTGAAAACTCTTGAAGAGGCAGCAGTCATATCTGATACTTATGCTCTGTATCATAAAAAGAATTTTGTTTCAAGATCTCAGACTAGCTGTAATTCTACCAATTCAGACACATATAAAAAGAGTGGTTCAGGGTCTCAGTCTTTCACAAGTTCCCAGTCTCCATCCCAAGGTGGTTCTAAGTCCGGTCCAGGACGTTTTGAAGGATCATCTGGAATAGGGTCGCTTCCTACTTGTAGTTATTGTAAGAAAAAGGGTCATCTGATCAGTGAATGCTTTAAACTTAAGAGAAAAAATGATTTTGATAAAACTCAACCACATGCTTGTGCGACAGTTAGAGGTGATAGAGAATCCTTAGTTTCGATTTGTTCTGACACTCCTGATGTCCAGGGTTCACAGTCCAGTTCTATTGATTCTATGGAGGATTGTAAGCCCTTTATGTCTCAGGGATTTGTTTCACTCGGTGACTCTAGCGAAATAAAACCTGTCCAGATTTTGAGAGATACTGGTGCTGCACAGACGTTATTGTTAGAGGGCGTGCTTCCTTTGTCTGAGCAGACTTCTACTGGTGGGTCAGTTTTATTACAGGGTGTGGAGCTAGGCGTCATTGATGCTCCCCTGCATAGAATTAGTTTGAAGTCAGATTTAGTTACTGGACCTGTTATCGTAGGTGTTCGACCTACTCTTCCCGTTCCAGGCATTTCTTTGTTGTTAGGCAACGATTTAGCTGGTGGGAAAGTTGTACCAGATCCTATAGTTTGTGAGAAAATCACTTCCAATGTCATGTGCGATGATGAAGATGATGACATTTATCCAGCCTGTGCTGTTACTAGAGCGATGGCCAGAAGACGAGAAATGGAGGCAGACCATACTCAAGCCTTTGACGAGACGAATTCCTCTGTTGATATTGATTTGAATGACACTTTCTTATCTCACCTTGATGGCACTCAAACAAGCATGGAACCACACAATATCAAGAAGCAAGAGAAGAAAGAACTTTTACCAAAATTTGGTGGTGAGGATGATGAGTTGCATCCACTAGTTAGCCAAGGCAAGGACATCCTCAGCCGAGAACGTTTACTCTCTGAACAACATAAAGACCCAGATATCATTCAACTTAGTAAGAGGGCACTTCCACCAGAAGAGGCTACTAAAGTTGGAGAATGCTTCTATATGAAAGATGGCATCCTTATGCGAAAATGGCGACCACCTGACGCTTCTCCAGATGAAGTGTGGCGTGTTGTTCACCAGATAGTGGTCCCAGCTGCTTATCGTCGAGATGTCATGAGTTTAGCTCACGATACACCTATGGCTGGTCATTTAGGTATCAATAAGACTTATAATAGGATTTTGAGTCATTTTTATTGGCCTAAGCTAAGAAAGGATGTTTCGAAGTTTTGCAAGTCATGCCATGTCTGTCAGATGGTAGGTAAACCAAATCAGAAGATACCATCTGCTCCTCTCCAACCCATTCCAGCTTTTGAAGAACCGTTTAGTCGAGTGTTGGTGGATTGTGTAGGACCTTTGCCTAGGACCAGATCTGGGAACCAGTATTTACTTACCATTATGTGTACATCCACTCGATTCCCTGAAGCCATACCTCTTAGGAATATAAAGGCAAATAGCATAGTTAAGGCCCTAACCAAGTTCTTCAGTTTTGTAGGAGCACCAAAGGCAATTCAGTCAGATCAAGGCTCAAATTTTATGTCGGGATTGTTCCAGCAAGTCACGCATGAGTTGGGTATAAGGCAATATAGATCAACTGCTTATCATCCTGAGTCCCAGGGAGCGCTAGAACGTTTTCATCAAACCGTAAAAACAATGCTGAAGACCTATTGTTATCAGTATGAGAAAGACTGGGATGAAGGGGTTCATCTTGTGCTATTTGCTGCACGAGAAGCAGTCCAGGAGTCTCTTGGGTTCAGTCCTTTTGAATTGATGTTCGGACATACAGTTAGAGGTCCTTTGAAATTGTTGAAGGAAAAGTGGCTGACTGAGACTAGTGATCTTAATCTTTTAGATTATGTGTCTGATTTCAAAGAAAAACTTTACAATGCTTGTAAATTAGCACAAGAAAATTTGAAGAATTCTCAGATGAAAATGAAAATGTGGTATGACAAAGATGCCAGAAATAGGGTGTTTAAGCCAGGTGATAAGGTTCTTGTATTTTTACCTATTCCTGGTCATCCTTTACAGGCCAGATTTTATGGCCCTTATGAAATTGAAAGCAAGATTAGTGATGTAAACTTTGTAGTTAAGACACCAGGTCGACGTAACGAGAAACGGGTTTGTCATATTAACATGTTAAAAGAGTATTTTGAAAGGTGTGACCGAAATTCTGTAAAACCAGTTTCCACTTTAGCCAATGCTAAGACTGTTCAAAATTGTATTGAAAGTGATACGAATGTAGAAATGAATGAGAAAGATTGTAATCAGAGTGTCCGTTTGAAAAACTCAGAAGTTTTGGCTAATTTGGATGCTAAACTTGGACATTTGAACATTCACCAAAAAGAACAAGTTAAAAGCTTGACGAGTGAGAATCATCAAATCTTTTCGGATGTTCCAAAGAAAACTAATGCAGCTTGTCATGATGTCATAGTTGGCGACGTTCTGCCTATCAAACAACATCCGTACCGTCTCAATCCAATAAAATTGCAGTACCTAAGAAGGGAAGTGCAGTACATGTTGGAAAATGACATTGTTGAACCTAGTAAAAGTGATTGGAGCTCACCGTGTATTCTTGTACCAAAACAGGACGGTTCGTACCGATTATGTACAGACTTTAGAAAGGTGAATTCTGTTACCAAAACTGATTCATATCCAATACCTAGAATCGATGACTGTATTGACAACATTGGAAACGCGAAATTTGTCAGTAAATTTGACCTGTTGAAAGGCTACTGGCAAGTACCGTTAACAGAAAGAGCAAAAGAAATATCTGCTTTTGCTACACCAGATGGACTTTACCATTATAAAGTAATGCCTTTTGGCATGAAAAACGCACCGGCTACATTCCAAAGAATGATTCACTCCCTTCTTCAAGACCTTGAGGGATGCGAGGCCTACATTGATGATGTCGTCATATACAGCAACACATGGGACGAACATCTCCGAATCATGCGTGCTTTATTTGACATTTTAGCTAAAGCAAACTTAACTGTGAACCTTGAGAAGAGCGAATTTTGTCATGCCTATGTAGAGTATTTAGGTCATAAAGTAGGTCAAGGTTATGTTACACCCATTATGGCTAAAGTGGAAGCTATTGCAAAGTTCCCGATTCCTACAAACAAGAAAGAATAAATGAGGTTTTTGGGCATGGCTGGGTTTTACAGAAAATTTTGTCCAAATTTTTCCTCAGTTGTTAGTCCACTTACAAATCTTTTACAAAAGAGGGTTAACTTTGAATGGACAAAGGACTGTGAAAAATCCTTTCATAAAATCAAATCTGTCCTTATGAGCAACCCAGTTCTGTCAACTCCAGATTTTTCTAAGCAATTTAAGCTTACTGTTGACGCTAGTGATGTTGGAATCGGGGCAGCTTTGTTTCAAGAACATAGTGATAAGGTAGATAGAGTTGTTTCTTATTTTTCAAAGAAACTTACAAAATGTCAACAAAAGTATTCCACCATTGAAAAGGAATGCCTTGCTTTGTTGTTAGCCTTACAGCATTTTGATGTTTATCTGAATGTTACTTTGCATCCAATTCTTGTATATACGGATCACAACCCCCTGACATTTTAGCATAAATTGTCAAATAAGAATCAAAGACTGACTAGATGGAGTTTGTTGTTACAAGAATACAACATAACAATTAAGCATATCAAAGGCAAAGACAATGTTATTGCAGACGCCTTGTCAAGAGTATCGTAAACATACTAGATTTTGTATTAATGTACAAAACTTTTATTTTAATAATATAAGTTTTCATTGACATTCAAACTTTTTAAGGGGGGAGGTGTTGTGAGATGTGTATTGTTTCATTATGTATATAATTAGTAACATTTAGTTTCTTGAACATTCCAGAGTGGTCAACATGTTCGGTCATTTGATCTAGAACATTCTTAAATTTTGTGTATGTCCAGATTGTTCCAGTAATATCATGTTTTAACAATTTCTAGAATATTCTAGATTTCTAATACTGTATAAATACCCTGTCAATTCGATGCATAGAGATACTTTGTCGTATAAGCACTATTGAGATATAACTGGGATATATTTTCACTGGGACATTGTGTACAGCAACGGACACTCTGATGTATGTATTTTTAGATTCTTGCTAAGTTTGTACTTTATGTTTCATATACTTATTATATATTACTGTAAATAAATTATTGTTAAGTTTAAATTGTGTTATTGATCTTTGCTGGCATTTCGGGTAATTCTGACCCATAACAATACACTGAACTGACGACGGATTTTCCCCTTATTTCCCGATCTTGACAAGGAGCACACGGCGGGTGTGACCGGTCAGCAGGGGATGCTCACTCCTCCATGGCACCTGATTTGCTCTGCTATTTCAGTATTTTGTATTGTTTAATGGACTTTGATATTGAATACCGTTCGTTATCTCCATATCCTTCTTTCAAGACAAAAGTTTGATTTTATTTTAAATTTTTGATTCTGCAGTCCACAAATATTTAGCAGAGGAGGAGAGTATGGAAATACCTGGAGGCTTTCCGAGGATGGCAAATTGAATTCCGATAGAAGACGAGTAGCTGCAGGCAGGGAGACGGGTTCTAAGGGCCCCATTATAACTAGGTATCTCAGAATTAGATTTTACTATCTACCAGGTCCAAAATTATTATTAATAGATCCCTTATTATCAAATATTGTAAATCTTGGGATTTTGCCTACTGAAATATCATCAAAATTAACTAAGATTGATTAGGTCTGCTTTATACTCATATACTGTGCTGTGATGACGACTGTTTTTCATGTACGTTTGTTTGTTTTTTTTACTACTATTGAGATATTTGAACTTCTTGCCGGTGGATGACTGTAAATTCAGATCCTTTTAAATTTGATTACATTTTAAAACATAACAATAGAATTAATCTCATTGGACCAGAATAACCAATGACGAGAGAGAGGATGAGATGGAACAGAACCTGACAAGTGTGGGGGATGTTCTGGGAAACCTGCGGGAAATGGCCATTGACATGGGGAGTGAAATAGAGTACCAGAATAGACAACTGGACCGCATCAATATCAAGGTATTATAACCATGATATATACACACGTTTCTAATGATGATAAAGCTGAAATGGAATACTTAATTAACATCCTTTGACTAAGGTATTAAGACTTTGAATCTGTCTTGTTGCAGACCCAGTCCAATGACTGGCGAATACAGATGGCCAACCGAGAGCTGCAGAAATCATTAAAGAAAATTAATAATATCTGATTAAGTCTAGTTGTAGTTTTGTTTAATAAGCGAGCATTGATCTGTCAATCCATTATAATAATTATCTGTAGAGCCTTTGCACATACACCTATGAAAGTTAGATCAATAGATAAAAATAGAAATACAGCGGAGCCTCGTTAAACCGGACGCCATTTTCCGGACGCTACCTTTAAAGTACTTTTTTAAGTACGTTTGTGAAGAACAGTTTACTGCGTATACTTATACATATTACATTATACATATAAACGAAGTATGTTTTGGAAACCCCGACAATTCTTACCTCAAGCGTCCATGTTTACGAGATTCAACTGTATAACTTCTGTATCAATGAATCTCTTTCTTTATTAGCTCATTTTATAGGATAAATATGCCAATTTAACCGAAATTAAAATTTACAATCATGTATCTGTAGATTATTAGATAAAGCATTGTTTGAAAAAAAGAAAGAAAACCAACTGAATAACAACTTTATAAACAATTTAAACATCCTATGCTCGGAACTCAGTACAATTGAGTAGTGAGGGGTCTTTTTCGTGGCAACACCTTCTGCAACATGGGGCCTCGGTTTATACGGTCTAATCCGAAAGATCCAGGTGCCACAGTGGGATTCGAACACGCGACGTGAGGATCAGCTCTCTTAGAGCAGGCGTTCTAAACATTCGCCGAGAGGGCGACAATAAATCATTGTGTAACAAGACATGACAACGCTCTAGCGCATTGTCGCTTCGAGTTAGCGCCTTGTTACTTTCAAAAATGTAACAGTGTGTTAGTAACAACGCGCCAGCACATTTGAAGTCATAACGCGCTAGCGCAAAGTGACAACACATGTTGGTACTTTGTGCTATAGCGTGGTAACGTGCAAAGTCCATGGGACATTGATTATTACAACGCACTGGCGCGTTACGCGCTGGCGTGTTATTCAAAACACTTTATGCAAACAAGCAACGAATTGAGATGAATACTATTTATAATCGCAAAAATGCCATTTGCCATTTGTTTCTTCATCATAAGGGAATAATTCTTTTGCACAAATCAAACAATTTTTTGTTTGTTTGTTTGTTTTTACAAATATAGGCCCTAATTTCTAACCTCCGCATACATCAGGAAGGTGTGTTATTGCTTTACATCTAGAAGATAGGACAAATCTGTAAAACGCTTGGCAGTATATGTGACTAAATATTGTATATGTTGTACAAGATAAAAATATGAGAAAAGAGATGCTTCAGTGTTTTTTGTCGTAAGTGCCTTGGTCTTTGTAATTGCCCACATATCCCGAGTCGTCCACCTTATCCACACGGCCTTCTTTGCCCTTGCCCTTTCCTGATTCGTCAAACCTCTCCTTGTGGGACCCAGTGTATTTGGAGGTATCCGTCATACGGTCAACTCCCCCGGTCTTAGAAATTTCCTAAATTAACAAAGTAGTGATTATAATAACATTTTCAATCACTCGTACTTTACCAATACAGAGCAGGAAATCCAATATTTAATGTTAGACCTAGATAATGTAGAATTGAATATTTTGATAATATTCTGTATGTCTTAAACATTTGAAATCATTCTTCTAGTAATTGCCAGTAGAATACCGTTTGCTTTATTCCTGTACCGGATGTAATAATCTTCTCTGCCAAAAACTTCTCATGTTCTTTGAACTCTTTTGTTTTGGTGGTGACGTCATCATATTGGATGGCGGCTTCCGATATAAACTTCCTGATTTGATCCTTATTGTCAAGACTAATAGACCTATACACAAAAATCTTACAGTGAATTATAAAAAAACATATTTTTTAAAATACAGTGTCTGATTCGTGATCTGTATGTCGTCAGAACATTCTACATAAGGCTACAATACAGTTATTAAAACCGTCATGAAAAATCAATGATATCTTATAGGACTATTTTTTAGGCCTAATGAAATATTTCTGCAATATGGAATTACTTTGTAGTTTTGTCCATAACTTTTGGGAACACACTGGAGTCTATCCGGGTCTGTAGGGGCTTGGGCCAGCATTCCTTGGCCACCTTTCCCACTGTTTTACTGTCCATCTTGGCTGAGGTCTTTATCTGAGCCATGGCAAAAGCCTTCAGTTTCTCAGTCAAAGCATCAATATCGTAGTCATCTCCTCCTGACGCCATCTTGTTGGTACAATCTACTATTGTGGGCTAGACTTTTAGTAGGCCTATAATTTGGCTAAGTTATGCATGTAAATTCACAAATTCTTTGTGCGAAATACATTTTGACGTCATATCTACGTCATAGTCCTAGTAAATTATTTTCTCAAGAAATAGAAGACCATATTTTCATGAACTTATTGCATATATCCAATACATTCATCATGAAATCATTATACACGTACACTAACAACCAGAATATTTAACACTGAATGAAAAATTTAGGCATTAATTGAAAAAAAAATATCTTACGTTGAATTTCACAACTTATAGGCCTATGTTCTAAATGATCACTAACGTTAGGCTATCTATAGGTCTACAAAAATTGCTACTTGAATTTTATTTACCGTTTTTCGAATTTTTTGCTGACACAAGTTATTTAAAGTTTGATCTTTTTGAACTCAAACAATTTCTGTATTGAATTTCATAGACACTATTCTTAAGACACCCCCCCCCAATAAAAAAAACCCAAAGATTGATATCTAGGAAAGGTACATGGGTCAAACTCATTCTTTGGAGTGTTGCTTTATTGAGAATAGGAATTTGTACACTGATATATTCATGTTATATTTTAAAGTATGCACTGGAAATGATGATATTTATCTATAGGCCTATCTCCTCAAAAACGTCTATATCAATTTGACACTCATTTAAAGAGTTACAAGCTGATAGACATTACTTAACACTTTTTTTTTCTTTCGAATATTTGCCTACCTTGGGATCATGCTAGCCAAGGGTCTTTGATCCACTACACTCCGAGCTAGCAAAGATAGTATTTTAAGGACTTTTTACATTAGATGATTTATCAAATGTTTCCAAGAAACAGAAATTTTATACTTTACGAAGAAAAATGTCAATTGGGAGTATAAGTTTAGTTCATGTTGGATTGCAACAACTAATGAAATATATGAAGATGAAAAACGGTATTCATGCCCAAAAGTCCATTTTAAAACAATGCACAATTGGAGCAGAACAAACACGGACCTCCAAAACATCAGAGGTCGGATCAGGTGCCATGGAGGAGTGAGCATCCCCCATCGACAGGTCACAATCGCCGTGTGATCCTGGTCTTGATCGGGAAATAATGGGGAAATCCGTCGACAATTCAGTGTGTATATAATAGCCTAACAATTAATATGAAAAACGTCAGTCATGAAGCATTAGACTTACTGATAAATTGTATTTATTGACAAGGTAATTGTATCGACCGTATCTCTTACGGAAGGATGACTACTGATGCTCTTGTTTCATCAACTTGTTTGTTAATAATCTAGCTCGCTATAGAAATTGCTCATACGTAGAGCATGCTATCGCGTATCGAATCAATTGAAATATATAAATCCCTTTTATATGGAGGTTATGAAGGTATATTGCTGCTTAGATAAGGGAAATTGACAATAGAAAAGTTAAAGTCATCACGTTTATCATAAAGCCAGGTTGTTAAATTACCATTAATGTCTTTTTCAAATAAAATATCGAGATATGAAACAGATGTGTCTTACTCTGTGGTATATTTTTTTTCAAGCTGTTGATATATTGTATCAACAAATAAAGAATGGAAATGAACATACGTCGTCGATATATCTAAGATAAAGGGCACAGCAAATCTTTTTTTCTTTTCACGCCTAAGATTTTGGATAAATTCTTCGTATGAATACAAAATTAAGTCTGCTAATAATAGGGCGCATTTTGTACCCATGGGAATTCCAATAGATTGTTGGAAGACCTGCATGGTCTTCAAAACCACATAGATATTGTCAATCAGAAACTCAAGTATCTTTTAAATATCAACTTCAGAGTACAAGTGTGTACAATTAGAATAATTTTTTAACAAAATAATTTTGCAAATGACCAATGACAAGGTAAGTAAATTTACGAATTCCATTTTTATTGAAAAAACAGCTGCTGATATAAAAAAAACCTGGACTTTAATTTATCTTGGGGAATGGTTGTATATAAAGTTGAAAAAGTCGTAAGTTTTTATCTGTTGATTCTGATAAAATTTTGTGATTTCAAATTTTCCAAAAGTTTATTGGAATTTTAAGTATCCACATCTGATTTACACCACTTCTCGAATATATTTTTTAACAGTACTCCTGAAGTTTCTCCTTTACTACTGTTAATATTTCAGTGAGGACTAAAGAAAGAAGCTTGATAGAACATTTACTGGAACCCGCTTTGCATCTTTAATGTAAGGGTTTTGGGAATCCAAAATAGATATGGTAATGCAATTTCATTCAGTTTTTTTTATATTAAAAATATTCAAAACTGACATAGGATTTGAAAATCATAAATAATCATTAATAAATTTTAATAAAGTCTCTTCTAAGAAATAAATCTACAAGAGAATGATTCAAGCAAAGAGACTACTGACCGTTTAAGGACCTTACAGACAGGATATGTAAAAACTCTGAATCCAAACAGAGATCAGATCAGTCTCTCAGTGAGGGTCCAAGAAAATTCCCCAAACACTCGCCAATCCACAGCTGATGCCATAGACAATATTTTTTTAGTTTGAAATTGGCTGTCGTTTGAGGGGGATGCATTCATCATGGTGTTTCATGCTTACTGTGTTGTGTTTCTGCTTGTAACATCCCTATCCCTTGTCTTAACTTTCAAAATATTAAAACCCGGTAAGTTTTCATTAATATTTTGGTCTAGCCAAAAGAAAATCATTTTCATCTGTCCACAAGGTAAGTAAGAATACGTTTAGAAATAAATTTCATTCGACTTGAGTCGCTAAATTTAGGTACGCAGTCCAAAGGGAGAATTCATTGTCATAGCAAAATATCATAATTTAAAAAAAATATTTTTTAAGAGGAGATTGTGACAACTAAGATAGCCTCTTAAAAATTATAGAAGAAAAAGAAAACTTTAAAAAAATATTTTCTTTCTAGGTTATAATGTCAAACACAACGTTTATCAGTACCATGACGTCAGTATTGACGTGTCAACAGATGACATCATCACAAGAGATAGAACCGGAAGTGAGCACGTTGATATGGAGTGGGACATAATACAGCGGGACAAGGACCAACTGGTGCGTTGTAAAATTTTTGTTATTAGTTATTTCAAACATAAATATAAAACAAAAGGTGCTCAATTCATAACCAGAAATTGATAAAACACTCGCTCTTTACCGTCGTCAGCCATTTTTGGTTAGTCGAGTGTAAAGTATGGCAGTGTTTGATGGGTTTTGACGTAATATAATCAATTCCTTTATTATTTGTAGATTAATGTAGATAATGATAAAAATGACGTCATAACCGAAGAAATAAATGACCGAAAAGATGACAGAATTCAGGCAGCAGAGGAATCACCGTCCATTTCCGCCCTGAATCTCCAAGTAATGGCGATTGTTGACGCTCAGTTGTTCCGGAAGTTCCTCAAGAGAAACCACCGAGACGTACGTCAGACCCACAACGCCATCATCACGTACTTCAGCTCAGTGTTCGCTATGGTAATTATTTTTTTGCTAATCTACTCAAGTCAGAAAATGATAACTACATGTATATAAATGTGCCATTTTATTTCCATGTTTTATTTTTTTTCAAACGAGTCTTACGACCTGCTCTAGCACGTTTTGATTTTGATTATTGCCATTCGATTTCTTCAGCTCAAGAGAATCTTATTGCACAAAAACAATTTATACGAGTATAAATTCATTCACTTAATTGTACTCCTATTACCTTTAACTAATATAGATTGTATAGATATAAAAAAAATTCAAAATCTAAAGTTAGTACAACATTGCTTAACATCTACATGATAAGAAAAATCTACATACAGTGTATGAAAAATTATAAGAAATATACATCAAACATTAGATATAAAAGAGAGAAAATAAGACACGCAGGGCGACACCCGAGATCAGTGTTTTTTGTCGTAAGTGCCTTGGTCTTTGTAATTGCCCACATATCCCGAGTCGTCCACCTTATCTACACGGCCGTCTTTGCCCTTGCCCTTTCCTGATTCGTCAAACCTTTCCTTGTGGGACCCAGTGTATTTGGAGGTATCCGTCATACGGTCAACTCCCCCGGTCTTAGAAATTTCCTAAATTAACAAAGCAGTGATTATAATAACATTTTCAAACACTCGTACATTAAAAATTCAGAGCAGGAAAATTATTAAGCAGATAATACTGATTATATTTTAGGTTTTTGCATGTCTTTGATATTTTGAAATTAATTTGCTTATAAATGCCAGTTGTGAATACCGTTTGCTTTATTCCTGTACCAGAACCTATTATCTTCTCTGCCAGAAACTTCTCATGTTTCTTGAATTCTTTGGTTTTCTTGGTGACGTCATCGTACTGAATGGCGGCTTCCGATATAAACTTCCTGATTTGATCCTTATTGTCAAGACTTATGGATCTACAGACAAAGATAAAATACGTGAAATAAAGTTCAAACTACGTCATAATTCCAAAAAATAAAGAGACCATACTTCGTCGTGGGTTTGTATTTTTTGGTTACAGTAACAATTATAATGTCAAGTACCTGTGTACACTAATCTCTGTTGAGTATCTGTGTACACATGCAATATATATTTTTTAAAAAACTTGCATCAGTTTGAATACAATGACATTATCATTTGAAATAACTAAGTGACTATCAACTTGATCATATTTCTATGAATTACTAGTATTTATGGTACTGACTTTCACCTCTTACCAATCATATTTGTACACATATTTAACTTACTTGGTAGTTTTGTCCATAACTTTGGGGAACACACTGGAGTCTATCCGGGTCTGTAGGGGCTTGGGCCAGCATTCCTTGGCCACCTTTCCCACTGTTTTACTGTCCATCTTGGCTGAGGTCTTTATCTGAGCCATGGCAAAAGCCTTCAGTTTCTCAGTCAAAGCATCAATATCGTAGTCCTCTTCCCCGGATGCCATTTTGTCTTTTGGGCAGGATAACTTATACTAAACCTTCAATACTGTGGAATACGAAATGATTTAAAGTGCACTCGATCAGTAGTTGAAATTTCAAGCATGCACAATTAGTTTTCTTATACGCTAGATTTTAATTCTATTCAAAAACTAATTCAAATCTTACACGAGTTTAGTCTTGGCGTTAATTAAACGTACCTTTAAAAGCACAATCTAAAAACAGACACAGGACAATTAGATTAAAACTGCAGGTAGTTCACTGCATGCAGTGGTCGCCAATGTAAACAAGTGATCCAGAACCGAGCTATTGATCTCTCACATTGTCCGGTGGAGAGTGGACTAGAACCTAAATTAAATGCAATCCCCGAGAGTCAAACTCGGATATGGAATTCATATATCAAAAGTAAACAAAAGAATCACTTAAAATCCAAAAATATGGAGGAGATAAAGGTTCTTGATAATAAAACACAGGGCGTGAGCTAGTAATGGAGATTTAGCGGAAGCCTCCTCTCAGCTAATAATAGATCCACAGCGAGGGGGAAGTAAATTGGGAGTTTTTGTCGATGCTGAGTAATTCCGAGCACTAAGCACATCTGGGAATGAGAGAGGGTTCATATGAATATTAATATCGATGAATGAAGCAATACGAAACGATCACTAAATGCCGTGAGTAAGGTCAGGGTTTCAGGAGGGTCGGCTGTGGCAGTTGGCACTGGGCAATGCTGGAAGGGAGTAAATAAATAATAAACGTTCACTGTTAGACACTATTTGTGTGTTGATTGTTATTAATATTTCTCTACGGCATTAATAAATGGAGAGCAGTAACAAAACAATAAAGAAATAGTGTATACGTCTTGTTTTAATTAAGCTTTTTAAAAAAAAATATGACGTACACTGCTGTTGTTTTTGGGTAGTAAGTATATACATATACTAGTATACTGGAACTAAACTATACATTTTTGGGTACTATTTTTTTCTCATCTCGGCAATTTTTATTTTTCTCTCCTCGGGATAAATCAGATCAAGCATCATGTTCCCCCGGATGTTCCCCCGGTTCTTCCAAACTCTGAAGATCTTTCCTACGAACCTGAGATGAAATAACGAACAGTAATCAATCCTAAAAGTCAACTGGAACAATACAAATTCGAAGCAGAACAAACACAGAACTCTTAAAACAGCAGAAGTGGGATCAGGCACCATTGGGTAGTAACCATCCCCTGTATATACAGAACATTATTTAAAATGATCAAATCTGACATTTAAAGGTGAACGAAAGATTCCAAACCATGAGGAAATTTGGTCTAGACATCACAATTAAGTTGGCAGCCATCGTCATAGAAGAGGTAAGAACTGCGAATTACTGATATTAATTTTAAAAACAGCCATGCTGAATAAACATCTTTAATAATTGAAGATAATATGTGCACAAATGACTGTTTCATCGAAACATACTATATATAATTCCTACTTTGACTACTTTTGACAGCGAGAACAAGATGTCCCTTGGTTGAGAGGACACGTCCGACGTCCTTCTTACACCAGGGAGGCCATGATAGACGTGGAATCAGTGTTGCGTGACTTAACAAAATGGCTGCAGAATAGCAGCTTACCAAACTACGATCACGCAGTGGCCTTTACTGGGTGGGTATATATGTTAAAATGTTCATGCAGAAATTCCAGATAAAAAGTCAGAAAATGCTTTTCATAAACATTGATCTAGCTTGGGTTAAATTTCAAAGCATGTATCATAATTACTTATACGGCAATTTATTCCAGATATACTGTAGATCAAAATGTTGCTATAAACAATATATAGCTTTATTGTGATAATTACTTACAATTAACATAAAAAAGATTTCAACATGTTCAATGTCAATATTTATTTTTAGACTAAGATAATTAAACAATAAATCTGTCCTTCCTTCCTGAGATGCTGATATTCTTAAAATGTACTAAATACACACACTGAAATACATGTCAGAAATTTGTTTGTGTTGATACCCCCTTTTTAGCTTTAAAATTACATCTTTATTAGGGTAGATTCAAAGTATCATTTGTATTTGTAGAATCTTTGTACTCATAGTATTTCTTGGGGCATTCAGTTTTATAGATCTTTGTCAACATTGATGGGTTATGTACGTATGTAGCCAACTTGAACCCAACAATAAGATATTGACGGATAAAACTTATGAACAAGAATTATTTATATCTCTTAGTAAATGTATCAAGCATTAATGAATTTTCTTTTATGATATTTACAGTAAGTGTCACAAATTGGTTGTAAAATCTGACGTATCTTGGCGTCTTTAGATGGACTCAATGATACGGCAAGATTCTCCCTTGATTTGCTTCGACTTGTAGTTGCTTGGATTAAATCTTCCATTCCCATTTTCGAGCGAAAACATGCAGATCTCCAAATACTCCATCGTTTTCTTCTTACCCTGTCATTTGTACTGTTGACCTTAAGTTTAAAAAAGCGGGATTCCCTGACTTCACAGTTTTCGGTTTTGTTATTTAGAATTACTTTAAGAATTAAATGTTGCTCACTTGCAATTCGCAATTTAATTTCTTTCGCATGAAATCTACCCTCCCGACTTGGTGAATAGGGTTCCCTTTCCAACTTTACGGATTTAGTGTTTTCATACTTGCCAAGTTTTTGTAATCTTTGTTGAATCATCACGTGATTCTGATACAGCTTTACACAAAATTCCTGTCCAGTGGCGCAGTTGTCTTTGACTTCCTCGAACACATCAATAGCACGAAGACGATTCATTGCCAGTCACTTGGAACTTTTGACGTTTCTTGTAGATAATATCTGAAAAAACATTATTTTAATTAAAAATATGGAGATCTAACGAACAGTATTCAAGAACGAAATTCCATAAAATAATACAAAATAGGACCAGAGCAAACAAGGACCTTCAAAACATCAGAGGTGGGATCAGTTGCCATATAGGAGTGAGCATCCCTTGCCGACTAGTCACACCCGCCGTGTGTTCCTTGTCATAATCGGGAAATAACGGAAAAACCCGTGGACAATTCAGTGTATAAATAATGGACTAACAATTAGTATGAAAAAACATCAGTCAGCATTTTACTCAATGATGATAATTAAAAGAGAAAATAAAATGTAAAAAAAAAATCCTTTTGAACTGGTCCAAGTTTGGCATTACATATACATTAGAACACGAACCGAGTTTTTGGGAATTCAAGTAAAAATTCTACTTTCAAATGCTTATACATACATATAACTAACCTTCACTCCTCCGTAAAAGTTGCATTAATTAATTAATGTTACAATTGAAGCTGTTTATCTTCTTTAAATAATAACTCTTATTGCCTCTTTCAATGTCAGTTTTGAGGAGTGCTTAGAAATAATTGTGTAATTAAAGTACGTAATTGGGTGTCACAAACATTAACTCGGGGCGAAATCCGAGTATTTCTCAATGACAGTTCATTGCAGTTCTAACATTTTGAAAAATGGCCAATTGTTATTTCCGAAATTTTCGATAAAATTTGGACAATTAACGTGTTTTAGAAGGTACATCACCAGGTAGAATGTGAAAAAAATATGTTCAAACCTAAATAAAGCAAGTTCTGCTACCTTGAATTTACTTCATTTTTCAATTATGTGGGGTACCATACCATATATATGTCTCTCCTTGCGATTTATGTTTCTTATATGAGTGACTTAATGATTATAAATTATACTACATCTAAACCACATATTTCAGATATGCTCTGGTAAAAAACTCGAAGAAAATCGACGGTAAGTACTACAAATATCAACGATGAATTTTAATAAAATGGTTTTGAATTCTACTTATTTCACGTTTAGATTTCCTTTGATGATAATTCCTTGTATCTTTAGATATTATAAAAAATATTCAATATTGTCAATAGAATTAAATTGTTTTATTTACTTATTTATTTATTTACGGTCTTCTTTTCCGAGGTTTGGCGTACATGAATAAGATATGTGACAGACAAGGGCACTCTTCATCCATTGTGGGAGAAAATGGAGACTTCATGAGTGTGGGGGTGGTGGCTCATGAAATAGCACACAGGTAGAACTAGTAAACATGTAAAGTAAAGCAATACCTTCGTTCGTCACGTGTCTAATTAAAAAGACAGTAACGAAGTGATCTATTTAGAAAGACAAAAGACACCCGCCGTGGGCCCCATGTAATGATCAGGTAACATTCCATAGTCAACTTCAGCATAAAACACCTAACATTTCTATGAAACACGTTACCCAATATACGACCCAATGATAGCTTGTATTTTCAAAGTTGTTATGACGACCAAAGAATTTACGAAATGCTGACTTTAAATGAGGTTGTTAAAATACCTGTGACATTAAGGTATTCGACCCATATTAGGACCAAAATTTCTAACCTTAAATATCAATTGTTTGTAAAATATCCTGATATTATTTTAAAGCATTTTAGAGTAGAAAGGGATTTACCAAGAGAAATTTTCAAAAATTTTATTACCTAAGCAGAAATTAATTATTGAAGAATGCATTGAAGTCTATGGGGGGAAGTAAGTTTTTTAAGATAAAAAAATAAATACTTCAGATATCAAAAAATGCTTTGGTGGAAAGATGTATTTGATCATTGGAAATAGAAAAACAATTAAAAATAATTTTTTTACCAGACAGATTGTTTTAAATTAATTTTTATTGAGTAAAATCAAAGGAAGATAACTCGCCAAGGGCAAGAAAAGGTCATAAATTAGGACATGTCCCACTCTTACATTCTTATACTAAAAGATGAAAATTAGTTCTAACTACACTGATTATTCAGCCCATACATATCTATTATGCATTCAATTCCATTGAATCTGAGGCTAATATGGATCGGATACCTTAACTTATCTGTCAATAGCTTTAAATTAGATTAATATTTTTTGACATAAAAATGTAACTGACAGGTATAGAAACACCATAAATATAGAGATGCTTGGAGGTAGGACAAGTAGAAGCATGCACTTGTGGTAAAAATATATAATACGGTTTACTTTGTACTGATGTAATTTTTCCCGCATGTTAGAATCCCAAGTCTTTGCTATATATGTTATACAATTGTACGAGATTTGGTTTTAATTTACAGTCTCGGTGCTGTTCATGATGGTCAAAGTAGCAATAGCGGGAATTGCTCTGCAGAAGATAACTACATAATGGCGCCTCAACATCAGATGAACCCAGAGAAAGTTCAAAATCTTTTCCATTTCTCGCACTGTTCAAGTAGTAAAATTCTTCAACTTATCAGGCAAGTTGTGTATCGTTCAAGCTTTGGTACTGTACTCTTAACTGGTATTTGTCCTTTGATGATGAAGTGCAAATGAAGATTATATTAAATAAGTTTCTCAAGTCAATCGAAAGAAATTTCTTAATTATTTGCTCCTTCTGTAAAATGGATAAAGGATAACGATTTAATGAAATGTTATATCCAGGTCCAATAAGCCCCAGTGTCTGTATGATGCTAATCCTGAATTCCCGTATCCCTATGACCTTGACACACGACCTCCAGGTCAGACATTCACTCGTGAGACGCAGTGTAAACTGGTGTTCGGTGAGAATTCTACACTTTGCTTTGTAAGTACACATGTAACCCCTCTGACTCATGGTTCTGAGATGTTAAATTAATGTCAGTTCTTTGTCAATGACCTCACTGATATACTTACAATTAAAGCCCACCAGAGAAACCGGGATGTTGATCAGATCATCATGGTTATAGCTACAAATACCATTTAACTTTTTATATAAGAGGAATTCAAAGGTAAATTTAACTAAATTTTGAATTCACTTTAACTATTCTTTTTAAGTACATTACCCCGTCTCGGTCTAATGATGACCGATTTTGTGGAAATGTTTGGTGTCAGAATCCAGACAACCCTAAAATGTGTCAAACTAAAGCGAGGCTCGTGACCTTACCGGGAACCGTATGTGGGGAAAATAAGGTGAGAACATATTCTTCACATGTGAACTTTTGAACTGTAAATTCTTGAAAACAGTTTTTATTTAAAGATATACAGTATTTTTGTAATACATGTAATTATAACAGCTCTTTCATCGCAAATATCGTATATGTTTCACAGATTTGCAGAATGGGAAAGTGCGTTCCAAAAAATGCCAGCAGAGAATCTGGTAAATGAGTCCAATTACGATAAATTCATGCACATATGTAATTTTTTAGCTCTACTGGTCAGAGACCAGAAGATCTTATGCGATAGTAATGCGTCCGTCGTCCGTCCGTCTGTCTGTCTGTAAACAATTTTTCAAAATGCTACTTCTACAGTTTTGGTCCGATTTCAATATAGCTTGGCACACAAGTAGACTACACGAAGATACATAATTCTGTGCATCGGTTTTTGATTTCGATGAACGGTGTTACCGTGGTTACTAAATATAGAAATTTCTGTGAAATTCTTTCAAAATGCTACAGTTTTGGTCTGATTTCAGTTTATATTTGGCACACAAGTAGACTACACTAAGATACATAATTCAGTGCATGATGCCATCGGTTTTTGATTTCGATGAAAGATATTGCCGTGGTTACTAAAAATAGAAATTTCTGTGAAATTCTTTCAAAATGCTACTCCTCCTACAGATTTGGTCTGATTTTAATATAACTTGGCACACAAGTAGACTATACTAAGATACATAATTCTGTGCATCGGTTTTTATTTTGATGAGTGGCAAGGATCATTTTTCTATTTATTGTTGATTTAAAGTCTCAAGTCCCAACTGTTACTTTTCTCTTCCTTTGTTTTTTAAGTATAAACCAGTAGAGCTACAGTCTCGACAGAGACTTCTGGTTTTATTTAAATCTGAATTGAATAATCCAGAAAAGGTAAAAATATATATACTTACTTTACTCAAAAGAGCTAAAGAACACGTTTAATTCCTGTAGATCTGGAATAGTTCTCTCCTTGGAAGTATCTGCTCACTAGTTATCTTTTTTATATCGGTGAACCTATCCATACTATTTTTCATTTTAATATTTTCTTGTAACCCTTGTTGAAGAGTTGTGTGGATCCGCGCCTGAGGATGAGGTGTACTGTCACAGGCTGCTCCAGAGACAGGGAGAAGAAGCGTGCCAGTTCGCGGCAGTAAGGAACGTGTGTTGTAGGACGTGTCTAGGGGTTACAGGACAGAGGGGTCAGGACACTGTCAGTAAATGAAACTCAGAGACAGGGGAGTCGGAAGCTGGCAGAAAATGACCCTGGATGTGAAACTGGGCACGGACAGTGTGTCATCTAATGTACAAGAGTTTGATACATTGTGTATAGCCCGAAAAATAAGTTTATTTATATGAAGAAAAAATATTAATTTAAGTACATGTTTGTAGTATTTTAATAAATATTTTGTTTTATGAGGATGCTTTCTTCACATTTCTTGAAGGCTCCATTATGAAAACTCGTCACTAATAAAAAAAAAATAAATCTCACAATTTACAAAGAACACATTAACCTCTCAGCCTCAGACTTTCTACAATGGCCAAGAAAAAATCATTCTACATTGTAATTCAAGGCTCAAAAGGTCAAGGTCAAAAGCATTGCAGCTGACGTTGTAAAAACAGTTTTAAAGTACACTCAGATACCGAACAGTGGTTAATCTAAAAAAATCTATAAACAATACAAACCTGTGAAGAGAGCATAAAACACGGACCCCTGGACAATCCAGATGTTGGATCAGGTGACCAAGAGGAGTGAGCATCCCTGTTGACATCGGTCACCCCCCCACCGTGAGTCCTACTTATTGACCTTCTCCGAATATCTACAGGAATGCTACAACTGAAGGACGGTGCCTTCTGAATTCAGGAACCAATTAAAAGAAAGTCAATGTCAAAAATTATGTACAACGGAGAACTTAGTGGTTTGGTTTGACATCTTAGTCTCATCTGCTACAGTAGCGGCCGATTTATGTATCGCACGAAGTTGTTTTGTTGTCTGCTAGATATGTATGGCACGCCAAATTCACAAAAATGAGCTTAACAGAGTTTCACAGTTGATAAACTAGGTTTATCGAGTGTAAACTAAAGTTTACAAACCGTGAACTATACTTAACAATTCGTTAACTATAGTTTTCATCTGTAAAACTATATTTAACGGTTGTTAACTATAGTTTACGAATGCATATCTAAGTTTATCTGTCTGTAATAAAGCTTTAACCATAGATTTTGTTGATAAACATTGATTCACGTCTGTAAATTATAATTTACAATCCTTAAACTATAGTTTACAACCGATTAGACTAGTTTATCGACTGTTAAACAATGTTTAGCTCATTTTTATGGCACGCCAAATTCACAAAAATGAGATAAACCTAGTTTCACAATTGATAAACTAGGTTTATTGACTGTAAACTATAGTTTACAAACCGTAAACTATAGTTAACGATTCGTTAAGTATAGTTTTCATCTGTAAAATTATATTTAACGGTCGTTAACTATAGTTTACGAATGCTAATCTAAGTTTATCTGTCTGAATAAAGCGTTAACAATAGATTTTGTTGATAAACATAGATTCACGTTTGTAAACTATAGTTTACAATCGTAAACTATAGTTAAGAGTTGTTAATCATAGTTTCACAAATCGTGAAACTATATTTATCAGATCGTTAACTATAGTTAACGGTTTGTAAACTATAGTTTACAAATCGTGAAACTGTATTTATCAGATAATCTATATTTTGCAATCGCAAATGATTGTTTTTGGTGTTAAGTATAGTTTACGGTTGTTAAACATAGATTATCGCGTTAACTATGGTTTACAGATGTAAAATATAGATTAACGTTGTTAACTATAGTTTACAGTCCGTAAACTATACTTTACACCCGATAAACCTAGTTTATAGACTGTGAAACTATGTTTATCTCATTTTTATGAATTTGGCGTGCCATACATTTTTGTGAATTTGGCATGCCAGAGCTAGAATACATGTAATACCTAAATGATAATTTACCAAGTATAAAATACTTAAGTTTATAAAAAAATATTTTATTTCACTTTCATTTCTCATTTTTCTGTTTCATTGAAAAAAAGACGTTAATGGTAATCTAACAACCAACCTCTATAATAAACATGATGACGTCAACTTTTCAATCGTCAACAATCCTCACTGATGCACCAATATACATGTACCTTTATCTGCATACGGACTTTACCTCCTCAATTGATTAGATACACGAGAGCATGCTCTACGTTTGAAAAATTTCTAAAATGAGTGAAGTTATTGACAAACAAGTTCATGAAAAAAAAATACATGTATCAGTGGTCTCGTTTAAAGTCACCATTACTCAAGTTTTATGTTGATACAATGACCTTGTCAGCAAAAACAGTGGTCCATATGTTTCATGGTCATCAAACAGCATTTCTAAATTTGGGTAAAAAAAAAAATTAAGACAAGGTAAAAGGCGTATGTGTCTACGATTAACAGATCACTCCTTCGCCCATCTAGTGTTGAAATCTCAAGCCGTAGTCGGAAGCAGTAGCGTACCAGAACAGACTTTAATCAGATTGGTAGAGACAAATCTAAGTATCATGGACAGTTATGATTTGGATGTTTCACCTTGTAAACAAGAGTTGTGAACAGTTTTTGTGTTTCGTCATTACCAAAGACACATGGCTCAACTTACTGTATGACTGCAACTTTCTAAGCTTGTTTTTTGTGACACTAGTAAAGAACATTTAATCAATACACATATAATGGTTCATAATTTATTGTCTTTCAAAAGATTTTATCATTATTGCACATAAAATTTTCATTAGTAAAATGTTATTACAGACGATATATGGAATATAAAATTGAATAATTAAGGCATAAACTTCGTACCATAAAAAATCCCAGAAAAAATAAACCATATATATTATACAACAAACATTTGTTTAAAAATAAACAAGGTACAATTATGATTTCTACCTGAATACTTTTTAACATTTTATCTAAATGGTACTGAAGACTTTTAGTAAGCCCAGAGCTGTGTGACCATCAGGATGTGTATAGCAGTGTCTGATCCTCAATTAAATGCATATTTCTAAAATTAATCGACTTAAAATACAGTCAAACCTCAATGTCTTCATCAACTGCACCTTTCTGTTTGAGAAAATCTGGACAAATAAAGCAGAGAGCTACAGATCCAAGCATTGTAAAAACCTTCGATTTACGCTGTTTTTTTTTTTTTTTTGGTCGCTCACTTCGGGAATTATTTGTTTTTTAAGCTTTTCTCCGCTTTAAGAATGCTAAACATGTAATTAACAACTGTTTTTGATACTTTAGCTTTCAACGGCCTCAAACAGGCCGTTGTAGTTTTGGAATATCGGTTGTAAAAATTTCCATTCTGACGTCCATGTTCGTGACCACGAGTAAAATATCTTTCAAAGAACATACTCTCGCCTATAAATAGGACAAAATGTAGGGAAAATCATCAGATATCATTTCTAAAGCACGGAAAATCAAAGAATACAAGAGATAATAATACCTGAAATGAGTGACCAAAAAACGACAGCATAAATCGAAGGTTTTAACAATGCTTGGATCTGTAGCTTTTTCCTTTATCTGTCCGAATTTTCTGCCAAATTTCTGCATCTAATCTTAACCTTGATGGGATAAAGAAAAAAACTTTCAAATTTGAAATATCAAGGAATTTCTTTAAAAATTCAACATATCCATGGTATTCAGGACATTTAGTGTTCAAGATACCAAAGTTCAACTGCATCAACTTCTCAAGAAGAATTCTGGTAACATTATGCTTAATGTTATATTTATGTATGCATACAAACATAATAAAATGTCTTTGTAAATAAAGACACAAATTATTTATTCCGGTTATTGCAGAAAAAAATGCATAGTTAATGTATTTTTTTTCTACAACAGCTGCAATTTTAATTCCTGTATGTGTAACATAGAACATTCTATCACAATAGAGTTTTACAATTGCAAAAACAGGACAAATAATATTAAAATGTTTTGTAAAATTTGTTATTCTTGTGAAATAATCCTTTTCTAACAACTGAATATTTTAAGTAAATGCAAGTCAGATTTCCATGTCCAAAAGGACATTGTTTCTTGCCATAAAATATCTTCAGATACTTTAACTATGACTTTTTAAAAATGTTAACTACTAGAAGTAAAAGAAAATCCCTAGTACAGATATTTTATAATTACTTCCCATTGGTCAGTAAAATAAGACAACCATTACAGGATAAGCCATGGGAAACATGACTACTTCCCATTGGTCAGTCACATCAAGATAAACCTCTACAGGATAAGCCATGGGAAACATGACTACTTCCCATTGGTCAGTCACAACAAGACAAACTCTACAGGATAAGCCATGGGAAACATGACTACTTCCCATTGGTCAGTCACATAAAGACAACCTTTACAGGATAAGCCACTGGAAACATGACTACTTCCCATTGGTCAGTTACAAGACAACCTTTACAGGATAAGCCATGGGAAACATGACTACTTCCCATTGGTCAGTCACATAAAGACAACCTTTACAGGATAAGCCATGGGAAACATGACTACTTCCCATTGGGTAGTCACTTCAAGACAACCTTTATAGGATAAGTATGGCACGTCAAATTCACAAAAATGAGCTAAACATAGTTTCACATCGATAAACTAGGTTTATCGGTTGTAAACTATAGTTTACGGACTGTAAACTATAGTTAACAACAGTAATCTATATTTTACATCCGTAAACCATAGTTAACGCATAAACCATAGTTAACGCAATAATCTATGTTTCACAACCGTAAACTATACTTAACACTAAAAACAATCATTTACGATTGCAAAACATAGATTATCTGATAAATACGGTTTCACGATTTGTAAACTATAGTTTACAAACCGTTAACTATAGTTAACGATCTGTGAAACTATGATTAATAACTATAGTTTACAAACGTGAATCTATGTTTATCAACAACATCTATTGTTAACGCTTATTACAGACGGATAAACTTAGATTATCATTCGTAAACTATAGTTAACAACCGTTAAATATAGTTTTACAGATGAAAACTATACTTAACGAATCGTTAACTATACTTAACGAATCGTTAACTATAGTTTACGGTTTGTAAACTATAGTTTACAGTCGATAAACCTAGTTTATCAAATGTGAAACTAGGTTTGTCTCATTTTTGTGAATTTGCGTGCCATAGATAAGCCATGGGAAACATGGCTACTTCCCATTGGTCAGTCACATCAAGACAACCTTTACAGGATAAGCCACTGGAAACATGACTACTTCCCATTGGTCAGTTACAAGACAACCTTTACAGGATAAGCCATGGGAAACATGACTACTTCCCACTGGTCAGTCACATCAAGACAAACCTTTACAAGATAAGCCATGGGAAACATGGCGAAGTGCCAGTGCTATGAATTGTTTTAAAAGACAGCTTAACCTGCAACTGATGAAGACAAAGACATATACATGTTTATTTTTTTTAACTTTCATATATCATAGTTAAAATACCTGCAAATGGCCATCGTATCTTTAAATATTCTTTAAACATTTCAAAAGCTTTTTTTTCTCGTAATTTTGTTTTATTTGCAATCATCATTCTAAGATATAAGAAAGCAAATTTACACAGGAGAGATTGGTTCTGACATAAGTTGTCAGAAATTTAGAGTATGACTCTGGAACAGACACTGAACTAAAGCATCAGTCTCAGGCCAAGACAACCACCTTAAACAATTTAACAGAGAGAGATCCAAAGCCAGCAAGTTTCACCTTCTAGGGGAAGAGGACGGCCCAGGAACCAAGTGAGAACAACTGAACCAGCTGCAGCCCAAACAACAATGTCCCCAGTCATTCCTAATGTGGCTGCACAAGCTAGTCCAAGGGGTTCATCAAAAAGGGAAGATGGTGAGTCAATCATAAATTTTGCAACAATTTTAGAGGAAACACCAGCTGAAACTCTAGATTTCACCCATTTAGATGTAAATGAATACCAACCTATTCAGACTCAAACAAACTTTGACCCAATAAGTGGTCACATTCCACTCAAAATTAAGCAAAAAACATGGGAGGAAAAATTCATTGATTTGGCCTTACTTTTAAAATCTGCTATTGAATAAGCTAATGAGATGGACTCTAAGGGGGAACTCCAAATTAGAGATGGGAAATGTGCCTCATTCTCCTTCAGCATTCAGTCACACGGTGTCATGTGAGATATATGCTTGCTAGTTCCCAGATCAGTTTTGCTGCTATTCCCAATGCGAGCGCACACATTTTGTTTATCATCTGAAATTGTGAAATTGATTACACTGAACAGCAATCTGTTCCGGAGTCGTCTGATTCTATCAAGCTTCTGATAGAATCACAACAGAAGCAATTCAATGATTTCCAAACATTGGTGATTGAGGAAATTAAATCCAAGAATGTGTGGATAGACAGTTTTATAGAAGAGCCCGCTTAAAAGAAACCAAAATTATCCAATGAAGATTTGGAGATAATTAATCCAAATAGAGAGGAAAATTTCTCACAAGAAAAAGAAGACGCAAAAGCACAATCAAATACTTCAATTTTGTCTAAACTTTCAAATTTACATCTTCGGAAAAAAAGGGCACTTCTACTAATGCGAAAGTTTCAAAGATTCTAAAATCAATTGTTCGTGATCAGCAAACCAAGAAAGATGATGAAAGAAGAATAACTGATCTCTTGGAAAAGAACCCACAACCTGAAAATTGTGAGTTTCTCTCAGCTCCGCGGGTGAATCCCGAAATTTGGAGAAAGACAAATACAAGACCTACAGATATCAAATTTCAAAAATCTCAATCATTGCTTCAACAGGCTCTTGGGCCAGTTGCCTATGTGTTAGAAAAATTGGAGGAAAAAGATCAAAAAGAGAGAATGAGGAAATTACTCCACTAATCGAAAGTCTTATGGACGCTGTATTTCTCGCCTCTATGGCCAACGATGACATGAACAAAGAAGGAGCAACATCAAGCCTAATCTGCATACGGATTATAGATCTTTGTGTTCTAATCAGGAATTGACTTTGCATTTTGTATATACGTAAATGTGTTTATGAACCTCATACAAATGTGTACTATTGCATTGTCTAAGAGTAATAAACAAACAAGTTCTGAGGTATAAAAAATTAAACAAATAAACATGGGCCACACAGCTCTATTGAAAAAATGTTCAAAGAACTATATGCGGTATATTGCATATGTTTGCCCCCACAAAAGTCAAATTTTGAAAACTTCCTGAAATGTGCTGAATTCAATAAATTGTACGAGAAATATAAGTTAACAGAAAATATTATAGTTCCAGAGCAGTGTATTCACAATTTCTGTTTTTATGACGTCACACACTAGTCCGATTTTATATCCTTTTTCAGAAAGAGGACAAAATGGACAAAATTTCAACAATTTAAGCTTTAAAATTTATAGAGCGCATGTGTGTTCAGGAACAATATTGACATATTTCATTGATATTATCATTCTACACATTATATCAAAATATTTATCCTGAACACACATGCGCTCGGTGACTTTTATTTAAAATATCGACGAAATATGTACATTTTTCTGCAAAATTCATAAAAAACTGAAATTTACGTCATATTTGTGACGTCATTACGTACATATGACGTCATTGCTTATGAAATTATTCAGTGCTTTGAAGTCAGCATATACTCCCCTGTTTAAGGACTTAATTAAATATTACTCCATCAAAGTTTGATTTTGGGGGGCAAATGTTGGTTAATACCGCACATAGTTCTTTAAAACAATGGTACCAAAATGTTTACTTGGTTGCTTGTTTTGTTTTCTTAAACAAACAGGTGTAATTTTATTTGATATGTAATCACAATGTTTATACTTTATGGCAAATCTGAACTCTCCATATACAAACTCAAGTTGTACATTTATAACTGATTCCAAACCTGAACAAATGTCAGAAACTAATCCCTCACTTTGCAAGCCACTTCCATTAATCATAATTATATGATGAACTGAGAGATTTAATCAAGCTAAAAGATCTTTACTTTTTTTAAAGCCATTAAAGCTGACGTACCTGCCAAACATGTAGCATATCTACTGTATAATTTTTTTTATAATAAATGTTTAGACATTTCACTAGTATGGTATTAATGACTAAATGTTCATTCACAGATCAGACACTTCTGAGAATTTCTTGCCTGTTTTATTCACTAAATGTGTTGTAAAGTAACATACAAACAGAATCATGAGGAGTTCCAATGCTGGTTGTTGACAAATCCTCACGTCTAAGGATGTTTATTTGGGAAGCTCTGTGCAAAATACAGCCAATTCAAACAGAGCTTCAAAGATGACCTGGAAACCGAGGAAGATAGTCCTACCTTCCAGTGAAGCCATTCAGAACATATCATTCACTGTACACCATGGTCAGCATCTCTATCATTTTTTAAAGTAGAACCTTTACTGTAGTTAATAGTCCTTGCCTGTTACAGGAGTTGGGTATGGGTATTTACCACAGTTAAGAGTCCTCGCCTGTTACAAACATGTGTGTCTTCTTTGCTGAGTTGATCATTCGACTTGCTCTATCCATACCAACAATATCTGCCAGTCTGTGTGCATCAAAGCCAGAGTACAGGACCGTACAAGTCATATTCTCCTTGTCTGTCTGTCTGCGAGTGTCTTGTAGCATGTTACACATTTCACTGTAGAAGTGTGGATACCTTGGAAGCTCGTAAAATACGATATGACGGACCCCCCTCAATTTTAATCTGAAAAACAGGCAGCATAACAGTTATTATGAATAAATTTAAATAATTTCTGCAATACCTTGCATTAAAATAATTGAAAAGTACCTTTTGTTTATTTATGTAAATTGAAAAAATTTTCTATTTTTGATTTGTCATCAAAAATTATGGGCATTTAATTTCGTCCCTAAGTATATAGTGTAATTTTGTTGATAATTTTGAACAAATTTTAATTTCTGCTTTTACATATAATCAAATTTTAATTTCAAAAATATTTTTTTTTCAAAATCCAAAATTTGAAAATGTGTGTTAATAATTTTACCTTCTATAAAAATGAATCCTTTCTGTGTACAACAGGAAGTGCACCTTTCCGTGATAAAATTCACTTCTTGATCGGGTTATTGTTTTCGTACTGGAATATCTATAAAACGACACAAGATCTACAGGTAAAGTCCCATATCGTAATCAATGATTACATAACTAAATCTGATTATAATATGGGAAAAAATTTACAATTAAAATCTAATTTGAATACTTTCAGCTATGTTAAACATCAAGTTGAAATGATTAAATGTCTTTTTTATTCAAGTATATCAAAATTTCAAAAGCAGAATCTTACTCATTAATTTGGGCAAATTCCAAATCCTCCCGTACAAAGTGATTGCGTATTCTGACATAATCAAAGTAAGAAGAAATAAAGATAAGAGTCTGAGACATCACCGCGTCCTTCTGAGTGGGCAGTATCTGTAAGGAAAGACGGTAAAATACTGTAATGTCACAATGTCAATAAACCCTGATAAAGGCTGCGTTACATGACATAAAACCTTACCTTCTTAAGAAAGAAGTCAAATCTGACATCTGCCAGTTCTGAATAAGAGGAAGCAGGTAATTTATGGAATACCTGTAAATCAATGGAGTCTATTTTAATCAAATGAGGAAAATACAGTCCCAAGTTTAATAATACTTCTTATTTAATGAATTTTTTTTTTTTCAAAATCACTTTAAGATTATTAAAACTGACATTTTTGCTGATAATTAATTACAGAACTGGTAAAATGATGCTTATATCTAATTAACAAAAAGGTTAACCTGAGGTAGCTGGGTGACTATGTGGCATATGGTGCCTTTAGTTTCCTTTCTGTTAACAGATAACTTGCCCGCATAATCTTCTTCAGTTCAGGAACTTCACTGTGTTTTAACATATTTTAATGTATATTATTTACAATATATTTATTTTTACACCTTCCCTTCAGTTGTACTGATGGTTAGATGGTAAAGGATACTGCAGCAGTGTTTGTTGAAGAGAGAATTGAGTTCTGGAGTGGCGAGGGAACTAAATATCAGAGTCTGCCTGTAGTATTTAGACCTGTAAGAAAAAGCAGCTCACTATAATAATATTTATCTCACTATATTAACAATCATCTCACTTTATTAACATTATCCAGGATTTAAAATGAAAGCAGAAATCTTGGAGCATAATAGAAGGCAGAGAAATGAAATATCTATAGAATTTTCTGCTAGGAGGTGGGAAGCATTGTGAAGACATGGGTGTTGAGTAAGATATAGTTAGCTACATTACCATCCATTAAGCGTCCACATCCTGACACGTGAGAAATCAGCACCGTGGGCCTCCTGTGGCTGAAGGTGGAGATGTGACATCAAATTCTACAAAACAGAAGTGCCAGTAGTGAAATAAAAAGGTCATCACTCTTGTTTGTGCACACCCACTATTTTTGTTTGAGGGTTGTAAATCATAAGAGGAAACACCATTTAATTTTATACTATGTTCAAGTTCTCCCAGATCTATAGTACAAAGCTTGTAGGAACTTAACAAAATGTATAAATTTAGTAATATTTTAATGAAAAAACTGTGTTAATGGTAGGTACTCAGTAACTCTGTATTTAGGTCATGTACTCAGTACACTAAGTTATTCAGTTCAATCTGGCATATGTGTTGAAGGAAAATGACTCTGAACTTTGTTCTGGATCTTTGATTATACAACTCCAAAAATTATATAGGCAGATACATACTGTAATGTGTTCCCAGTTTTGCATCAGAAAAATGTCAGCCTGGTCCAATATCAGAAGTTCTATGGAATTTAAAAAGTCATAATCTCTCTCCTTTTCCCTAAAAAAAACATAGGTAATCAGAGATTACAGAGCTCACCTCAACGAACGTTGTCTTTAAGTAATGCAAATTAAGTCACACAATTAACCAACAAAAAGTGTACATCCAAAAATGCAAAATTTATGCAATTTTGATTTTGATACAATAGACCTATAAAAACTTCAATCTTCATCATGAAAATGCATTAAATGTTAAAATCCAGTTGAAGGATTGAGAGTTTTCATCCCTTGATGCATCATTTGTGCAACTTTGGTTTATATACGCCTTATAGTTTCTTGGTGATAGACCTGCACCCATAACTTTTATGAGGTCTATTACAAAATGTATGTCGAATTCAGCATCTGAAGCAAAAATTATATAAGTTTGTTCAACATAGAGCTCAAAGTTACTTGGAAATGAAACTTGTATAAAAAACTGTGTAGGTCAGATTCAGCTTCTGAAGCCAGCCTAGTTTTGATGTACCATCCATGCAAGTTTGGTCAAATGTTACTTGGAAATGCCTGCACCATAAACTTTAACCTGTTTACTCGTCCAGAAAATGTATCAGAAGTTCTGGTATGGAATTTTTAAAAAGTGAAACCTGCATAAAAATTTTAAACTGTTCTCTCCCGAAGCAAGTCTTTAATATGCATCCTAAGAAAAAGCAATATAAATTAACTTGGAAATGAAACCTGTTTACACTTGTACCTAATAATTGAAGTTTGTTTATATGTCTCATAGAAACTTGGAAATGAAAACTGCACCAAAAACTTTAACCTGTTCACTCACCCGGAAAATGTAGGTCAGATTCAGCATCCGAAGCAAATCTAGTAAAATGCATCCTAAGATGTACCATCCATGCAAGTTTGGTCATTATAGGGCTCATAATATCTTCGAAATGAAACCTGCACCAAACACTTTAACCTGTTCACTCAACCGGAAAATGTAGGTCAGATTCAGCATCCAAAGCAAGTCTGGTAGTATGCATCCTAAGATGTACCATCCATGTAAGTTTGGTCAACATAGGGCTTATAGTTACTCGGAAATGAGACCTACACCAAAAACTGCACCAAAAATGTTAACCTGCACCACAAACATTAATCTGGTCATTCCTTTGCTGAAATTGCAGCATCTGAAACTTTGACTGGTACACTGAAACACACTTTTTTAAATTAGGACATAGAAGTGAAAAAACTTAACCTTTATAAATTCGTAGGTGAGCTAAAAAGGAATTAAATGTAGACCTGTACACTTATACCGAATAATGGACTGTTTTAGTGACCCGCAAAATTAGCGAATTTATCCAGAAAATGACCATTTAATTTTAGAGTAGTAAATTATAAGTGATTTTAGTACTAACTTTTTTTTCATTTTCTTTAACAATATCTGGATTTAATTATAGGTGACTTTTTTAAATTCTAATGATATTAATAATCATCTCTAATAATGCCAAAATTAGATGATCGGTAAATATTCCTACTATGTGGTACCTCAATGGCATCAAGTACAAAAATATTCTACTTTTTATCATCCAATGACAACAGAAGAGAATTATTTTACATGCTTTATATTGTAAATGATAATTAATATAATATACTGTGTAATAATATGATGAACTCATTTCCTTCTTACCCCTCCACTCCTATTATGGTTCTCAGTCCAAGAGGTGAAGCCAACACAATGTCCGAGGCATAGAATTTGGTGTAAAGCTTTAAGGTTTTCTTTGCCACTCCAAGTCCTATCCTAAAATGGTCATCTATATTTCCTGCAAATGTGGCTTCAAAGTCTTCTGTAATTGTAAATTCAATCCAACTCATCATTGAATGCATAAGAATCTTGTAATAGTAGAGAGCAGAATTGACAAATTGGTCCCCTGGTTATTAGAGGCCCCATATCATTAATTTGTTTTTTTTTTAATCTCAGCCAGCTTTTTACCATTTCAGCTCTGTAAAATGTATATGTATAACAGTCAAAAACTATTCCATCTGACTCCGTATCGGAGGGTCTTTAGACTCAGATGATCAAACTTTATCTCGTTAAACTGAATCAACCTTCTTACAAGCAGACATGTATTTAACTACATGTATATAACCTTTTATATGTTGTATCTTCAATGGTACACCTAGTTTGCATATTTAAATTTCTTATAATGAACATCAAACATTTTGTATAGTATGACATGAGTGTAAATCCTGGCCTGAATTTCCAGACTTCACTTTCACACACAGGACATATTTTACAGGAAATCTGCCATCTTGAAACTGTAGACATTATACATTCTGATTTACTTTCATTTAAGGGATCAATGAAATATATAGAAAAATGGGATCAATGAACCGTTTAAACTGTTTCTTTAAGAAAATTCAATCACTGAACAGTAGACATTTTAGAAAAGTTTTATCGGCCTACATAAGGCCAGTACCTGGTTTAGGAACTTTCTTCTCTGGTATATCCTCTTCACTGTACTCTGTTAGAAATCTTTTCTTATTGCTGACCAGACTCTGAAATTGTTCTCTACTTCATACAGTCAAAAATACTACATTGCTATATTCAGTTGTTAATTCCAGACAATACTTGGCTACTTTGGTACGCTAGGAAAAATATACGTATGATTTTACATAAAGTACATGATCTTCTGGTCCCCTGTAAGCCTTAACATTCATATAGCTGCAGGATCTGAATGAATATTAAGTGTATCTTAAAGAATTCAAACACATTTAAGGCCATGGCCTCATTAACTTGATCCTAAATAAGTGGCACCTGTGCATATGAAGTCACTTACGTGATGTCATTGCACTAAAGTTTGCATCCCAATATATCAATGATTACATACACCATATAACCTTGACTTGCAAGATCAAACACATACTCTGTTCATGCAAATCATTTTTTTCTGCTTAATGACGACCATTAATATCATACACAAACCTGGTCTGACGACATCAACAGCTTCATCATGAGGTTTACAACTTTGAGGGCGGAGTCTCGGAAGGGAAGGACGATTAAAACCTTGGGGCGAGTCAGGCCCTGGTCTCGATACTCCCTGTTAGATAAAGCAATGTAATGTCACATGGACCATATAATAGAAGAAACTTAGTGTAGTCTATAAGTACAGGTAAAGATAAGATAAAAGTGGTTTTTGTAATAGGAGGAGAAATGCAATACTTGAGTAGTGGTGATGGAAATGTAATGATAAACTCATAATCATGTAAAAGGAGAGGTAATGTAAAACACTCATGGTGTGTCTACATGAAATAGGAGAAGGCAGTGGTGTTGCCAGTGATTTCAGAGAAGCAGAGCAGTGATGTGTTAATATGGATGAGTTTTTACGTATTCTACTTACTCTAAACCCGTAATTTGTTGTTTTGCTTTAATTCTGGTGTTGTGTGTGATGATTCGACTTCTGGTTCTGTAAAGGTATAACATAGATTTATGTCAGGAATTGATTTGGCAAAAGCTGACACAGTGAAAAAGAAGATACCTTTGGAATAGGACTTGGCCCTTTCTTTTGAGAAAAGTTAACATTTTAAAAAGTTTAGATGGACAGATGTCAATAACAGGAAATCAGAAAATCTCCTTTGAGCTTTCAGCTCAGGTGAGCTAATAACTAGTAATTGTTTCTGTAATACATGTCATGAATGTATAACATACAAGTTTTTTTTTTTAAACTTACTTCAAGACATGATTCAAGGCATGCAGACAGTAAACAAGGCGTATTTCTTCTCCATTTTTATGGCTTCGTTCTGGATAGTATACATCCTGTATAACAGAAGTTATTACATGATCAGGATCGGTGATGCCGATTGGTCCAGACTCCCCTTCCTGAAGTGTACCTCAGAGTGAGTTCACCTCAAAATGAAGGTCTGGCAGGTATTTATTTGGGTTTTCTTTCTTGACCAACAATAGATTTGCCACCATTTTTTTAATCAATAAAATTGTATGTTATGTTTCCTGATAGAGAATTAAACAAACCTGGTATTTATTCAAGACTCGGAAAAGTGAGAACTGGAAGGGAGTTAATGGTGCTGAAAGATATCAAGCATTTTTTCTGATAAACTTATCATAAAATCATCAATCACGTAAGTTTCCTTTTTTATTACGGTACTCGTATCAAGACAAAAATAAAACATTGCGATACACACTAACCTCCATTTCCCAAACTATCAACTTTGCATAGCTTTCTATTTGCATTTTCAACACCTTCTGCAAGCTTGTGTTTTACCTGATGGAAAAGAAATGAATACACATTTTCATTCATTTCAATTATTTAAGATATAGAGAGCATCCCATACAAAGACAAATTTTGAATGTCATCCTTTAGTCCAAAGTAAACTATTTACATGTGTACCAGTGAATATTAAAGTTAATTTTCTCACATAAAGACATTTTAGGTCTTTTTCACTATCAAGAGATTTCATTTTTTCCAAATAACTGTGGTCCTTTGGACTTGTGAATGATCCATGGCCAAGATTCTTCACCTGCAAATAAACAAAAATAAAAACAAACTAACACATGTGCTTTTCCAAATATTGAAGTAAATTTGAGTTGACTGTTTAAGTTAAAATAACAGAGAATCAGAGGAATACAGTTTTTAAGTGTTTTTTTTTTACCTTGATCTCTTCACTTTTCCAGTTTTCTTTGTTACTCAAGCCTTCAGCAAACTTCTCTGACAAGTCTGTTTCAAAATGTACACTGAAGGGATCTAAAAAAAAACAACAACAAATTCATTCCAAACATGCAGTCAATCCAATAACTCCTTAGGGACATTTTTCATCTTGTGTTATTTTCTCCCTTTTACACTTTCAAACATTTTTTGCTGCAAATTTGCCCAGTTTACAAAATCACCCAGTATACAGTATTTAATTTTATTTCAATATTACCTGACTCCTTGACAACATAATCCTCTTTGTCTTCTTCTTTCTCTATGATCTCATCTCCTTCCTCATTATCCTCATTTTCTTCATTTTCTGCTCCACTATTTTCACTTTCTGCTTCACTACTTTCGTTTTCAACCTCTCTTTGTTCTTCCTTTTCCTCTCCATCATCTTTCATCTCTTCCTCCTCCTCCTCATCACTCCTACTGCTTACATCATCCTCTCCATTGATCTCCTCCTCTTCTTCTTGCTCATCCTCATCAGACTCTGCTCGTAGAAACAAAACCTAATATATATCTACATAAGAGGTCACACTGTACCGTAATGATTTTATCACATCCTATTAATTATGGTCCCTGACCTACGATGTTCTGTGATTTTCCGTGGACAGATGCTAAAAGCTGTTGGTAGGCATCAACTTCCTCTTCTGAAGAATCTGACGAGTCTGATTCCTGAATTAAAAAGCGTTTAAAGTTATCAAACTACGTAGGCTCTGTTCCAGTAATATAAAAGATGTACAACAGACCTTAACAAGTGCAACAAATTCAAATTTTCATATTTTAGGTTGAGCAGGTACAACACATTCACTACTTTTAGCTATCAAGTTTGAATTCCCTGCATGACTAATCAAAGGAGCTGGATTAAGCTACTGTATGTCACTTTTTATTTGCATGATTTGTGAGAACTTGATTTTTTACAAGACTGGTTGCAAAAAATTCTTTCTAATATTTATTTGTCTTTAAGGTTACATACAACAGCATGCAATATTCAGTTATTCATAGAAAATTTATCTTGCTAATAAAGGTTTATTGACCATTATGCAGAAATAATGTTCCCAAAAAATTTAGTATTTCAGTTCCAGTTCTCACAAATTTGCTTTATATATAAAATAGACAAAAATGCACTAGTATGTGACTTGTGATATTGACATTAAATTTTGCTGTTTTTACTGCTTTAACACTTAAGATGTATTTCCATTGTGCAACTATATACCATATTTCATGTGGTAATTATATGCCTGGATGTGAGACTTCATTTTGTGCCAAATTATTAACTCTCATGATTTATCATGATAACCAGTGTTGGTCTTCTTTATTTCATTCAAGACGTAATTTTTTGGTCACAAAATATCTTTAGTACATAGCCCCATTTTTTTTTTAGAACTTTTGATATCTATTGTTCTGAAAGAGACAGGTCTTGGAAAGCAATTAACAATTTTCTAAACAGTTCAGATGCAGACTAGCACTAGCTCCTGAATACTACCTGTATCTATGTAGGTTATTCAAGCTAAGTAGCTAAATGTAGTGAATGTGCTCAACCTGACAAGATATGATTTTTAGAAATTTAGACCAGAAGCTCGGCCCTATAAGTAAATATGTACTAAGTATCTAGCATTTACCTGTAGCTTATGATCTTCAACATCAGCCATCTTTGTAAACTGTGCTCTTGAACCAATTCTATAAACAGAAAGTAGACAAAAACTAGAGGTACTGTGTGCAATGAGCTTACTAAATGATACCCCCCGCCTCCCATATGGTTATAATTGATGACAAAGTCCATGTTTTGCTGTGGCCGGGAAACCCAATATATGTGTCGGATCAAAAAGTAAAATAGGAGGTCACAATGGAAATATGTAATAAAGATTTTGTGAAAGTTTCATTAAATTTCACTAAATGGTATAGGAGGAGTTGCGGATAAGAGATGGGTACCCCAAAGCGTAACAGACAGATGGACGGACAGCTGGACGGACGGACATACCGATTACAGTATCCCCTCCCACTTTTCAAGCCTGGGGTATAATAAGAAATTACAATACAGATGATGTGTGAACCCATTTTATTTTAAATGCCCACTAAAATAACTTTTTTATTGTAAAATCAAGAAATTGTCTCATATGACTGAATGTTTTCCAATTCAATGTATCGAATAAATGCTTTTTTTTTTTTATCATTTTGATCATTTTAAGAAACCCTTTATAGAACAATCAGTACTAAGTGTATAAAAAGATATAACTAAATGATGAAAAAGAGTTTCTGCTTTATAAATATATTGTATTTTAAAGCTTTGCCTCTATTTACCAAAAAATAAGAACAAATAATAATTAACAATAGCAAAATTCTATCTACCCAATTGTTTTCAGTGTGTATATAGAAAAAAAAAACAAAAACATGCATCCATATTTTTTGGTCATGGGCCACATGTACTTGGGTCTTGGATCATTAATACATTATAAGTACAGTGCAAGTTCTTAGAACAATATCTGGGCGAAGATAAAATCAAGATTGTGCACACTGATCCAAATGATTTTTTCTGCAATCACCTCTTGACCCACAATCCTCTGCACATTGCATCTCACGGCAAACTGTGTTCTTGTGGTAACAACAAAAGTTCCACCAAAACAAACTCACAATGATTCAATACTTGATATCGTGATTACTCAACTTAGAGGAACTATTTTGCGATGGAAGTAGGAAACGTCTGTTGGATGGGGGCAAATGTGCATACAATGCAAGATTGGTCGGTAGAGTTTATAAGGACAGATAAGTAAAAAATCCTGGTGGAATACCTTGCTTAAAAATTGCTGAACCAGCCTGATTAATTTTTTAGACAAGCTAATCCTAAAATATTACATTTTAACAATTTTTTTAAATAAGCGGGCTCTTCTCATTAAATTTTCATAGAAAATCGTCACATTTTAAAGCTGATAAAATATTTTAAACTTTACTTATTTGGCAATCTACTATTTGGAGTCAAACTCTTGAAATGCATTGTACTTTCAGCATTAAATTGTTCGAATCATTTGATTGTTACTACTGTAAACAATGTAATGTGCCCCCAAAATCTAGAGCTTTCTCAACTCCCCCACAAAAGAGTCGTAGTAAGAAACCCTGACCCTGGGGCCATAAAATTCACAAATCTGGAAGAGATACTCTTGCTCACCATAACTATGTGCTTAGTTAGATAATTGCCAGATATTCGTGATATTAGGTATTGATATTGCAGATAATTAGCAGATGACTTTTTTTTTTTTTACTAAAATTAGTATTCTTTAGACTTTTATATTCATCTCTAAAAACCATGCAATGACCTGGCTTGTTTAGTTTTTAGTTGGATGGCAGTAACTTCAAAACAAGCAAGTTTATTGGTCTGTAGAGTTGATTATGAACGGTTGATAGATCAACAAAATAGCTATAGGAATATTTAAAAAATATGTCTAGAATTAGGTATATGTAATTGATTGGCCAATGCTGGAAAGTGGAGAAATTCTCCTCAACAGTTCGCAGAAAATTTTGTGCAGGATCTTAAAGTTATGGTTAAAGACTAAAATATAAATAAACCATAATGCTACAGTTCTGCAGTTAGAGATTATACTGGACCTGCAAATAAGTCGAAAATACAATAAGCCATGACATGTGCTCTCGTCCTAAAGGTCGTACCCTAATATCCCTTCAACATATAAAAATTTTTAACTATTGAATATGTAAACGTATTCTTTTAACACATTCAGTAGGTATACATATTAAAAAACCAAAATCCAGGGTGAGGCATTCTGTTTATATAGTATACAGGTATACATATTTTAATCTTTATTAATTATAAACCTCGACATGCTCTTACCCATGGCCATTGTTGAGAGGATCGATTTCGCCATATTCTTTTATTTCCTTTCTTTCCCGCTTAGATAATTGAGAATGTTTTGATTTTGATTTTCTTTTCAGGTGTCCTTTTCCATGCTTTCTCGGTGCCATATTGACGCATTGCTAGTTTTGCAAGTGGTGAGCCAATGAATGCGGGTGGGTACGACCCCATTCCTTGTTCGACCCGCGTGGTTTCGACCCTTTTCCTTGTTCGACCCGCGTGGTTTTGACCCGAGTGGTTTCTTTCCGAGGCAATATTAATTATAACAATGTCGATAGTTTAAAAACAATTTTTGGGGTCTAATTCAAAATATTCAGATTTTTTTAACCGATCGTGACTGTTTATCATTAAAAATATTGCTAAATAATTATGTTTATTTAAACCATTTAATATACATGTATAGACCATAAATTCGAATATTATCCCACAAAGGGCTGATTAGTTTTTAAGGAACAATGTTCAAATATAAATTATTTATATATTTCAAATGAAATTAATTGCATCCTTGTCCTAAAAACAATCTCAAGTTTACTATTGACTTCAATGTTGACAACCAATAATTGACACGTATCCCTCCCTGAAGCCATACAGCTACCGTGTAACCATGTGTATAACTAATGTATACACCATACCTTATAGTGTGAACCTCTCTATTTACCTGTATGTATATAATTATAAGGAGGTCGAAACCACTTGGGTCGTTACCACGCGGGTCGAACACGGAATCGGGTCGTAACCACTCGACACCGAGCCGATGAGGTAATAACACACGAATGAACACCGATCCCGATGTTAAATGTGCTGAGTGGACCCCCCCCAAATCGTGGTTTGCGATGCTATAATATTGTAATCTGGAAAAAAAATATTGCAAATAATTAAACCCTCGTGGGTTGTTATGATTTCTTAGCTTTTTGTTTTCCTGAAGTTAGAATATACAGGTGCGAAAAATATCTCTCTGACTGCCAACTGCTGACTGCTTACTGCCAACTGTCAGCTGCTTACTGCCAACTGCCACACATATTTGAATAAATTTTATTTTCATATTGATATTTATGTAAATTAAAAAAAAAAAGGCGCGGATCTATAGGACATTTTTTCCAAGGGGGTTACTCTGGTAAAAAAAAAAATCCAACCCAGAAATTTCTTGACAAGATAAAAATACGTAAATACCTTTCCTAAATGTGAAAATTTATTTCAGCCGGGGAGAGGGGGTTCTTATGCGTCATACCTTCATGGGTATGACATTTTTCATACCAACTTAACACGAATCCACATTTTCGGTTGGGGAGGGGGGGGTTCTAAGGTCCCTTTTAGTTGATTGATTTTATACATTAAATAACTTTTAGTTGGTTTAGTTTGTGCATTAAATAACTTTACAAATTTTAGAGGGGTGTTCCGGACCCCTCTCTCTAGATCTATGCATGTAAAACATATTTTATTTGTACAAACAAAGAGATATAAATGTTTGATCGGCGTTTTGTAAGTGGAGGGTCCAAGGTCAGTTATACCGATTCATTCATTCATTCATTCATTCTTTATTTCCACTATTACAGTGATTAATGAAAATTGAACATACACAGAAAAAAGGATATCACATATGAGATAAACAATAAATTGCATGCAAACACCTCATAATATATATAGAAAAAATATATATATGTATATATTTACAATGTTTTAGATCACAAAATCATTTGGGATCATTACTTCACACACATGTATTATATATATATGTCCTCGCTTGAAAGAAAAAATCTATAAATGAATTTTGAGAATAAGAAATAAAGGAGCTGGAAGCGTCCCTCATTGGCAGATTTGCAGTGCGGAAAGATTGCGCTTATAAAAGGCACACGCATCAACAACGCAGCGAAAGTTTCGTAACTGGAAGTTTCTTAGGTAGAAGGCGGATATAATGGTGTTCGGCTTACGGCCTAGAAGAATTAAATACAGCTCATCATCAGTAAGGGCACACAATTCAACACACAGGTTAATGTCAAAATAGTTAATTACATCCTCCCACCACTGATTGCGTATATCATATGTGATACGACACGTACAGGATGCATGGTTAAATAGATCAACGTACAGAGATCCACAAAGGGGACAAATTTCTGTAGTTTCTCGAGGAGATTCGGAGACTAATTTGCAAATGAATTTGCACAACGAAATCTCATTACAATTTTGGGGTAGTCGCCAGAATAAAGCAGGATTTCCATCCTGAAATATTTTCCGGAAACGGTCGAATCCAGGATCATCTGAAACACGTGTGTCTCTCCGCAGCTTATTATATCGAAAAGTTGCAGATCTCACAATTTGTTTCCAGGCAGGCTTTGAAGGGAATGAGGCACCTGTAAGCCACTCACTCACATACTGGCAAAGGTCGTAAGTACACAAAAGAATCAGAATATCCGGAATAAAACCTAGCTGTTTATGAGCGATCCCTGCCAAGTAAGCAAACAGTCTAGTTAAGAAGATTTTCTTTGACAGAGTTTTGTATTCCAGGCGACACAGACGACCAAAAAATAGAAGCTTCCTTGCATCAATCTCGGCTTGTATTGGAAGAACTTCAAAAAGGCTTTCACATATGTCAGACCTTGTTTTTGTAGGTAGATTCTGGGCGTTTTTAACCACAAGATGCTGGAAGACATTCAGGCGATGTAAATCATTTGAGGCCATGCCATTCCATAGTTCACATCCATAGAGTACCGATGGTAGCACAATTGATTTGTAGAGATGAGAGAGTGTTAAAGGGTTCAGGTATCGAGATCCAATATCATTCAGGGCGAAATACGAGTTTTTCCCCTTTTTAAATGCCCCCCCCCCCCGATCTATGCATGTGAAACATAACAGGGACGTAGCAACGGGGGGGGGGGGGGGGGGGCAGGGGGGCCTGCCCCCCCCCACTTTTTTTCCCCCAACATTACCGTTACTGTATATTGAAAGGATGGTTGCCCCACCCCACTTCTTACCATAGTATAATGATATCAAGGATATGTAGTATTGTGTGGAAAATAATTGGAAGTGAAAGGTAGTTGGCCTTAAAATAAATTTAGCCACCTACCCCCCCCCCCCCCCCCCCCCCCCCTACGAAATAGGATTTTCGAGATTGGGCTATTTCCTTTTTTTTTTTTTTTGCTTGTCAACTTTTTCAGGTAAGTAAAAAAAGTTTTCTCTGGTTGCCCCCCCCCCCCACTTTCAAAAACGATGCTACGTGTCTGCATTATAACACACAGAGATATACATCTTTAATTTGAGGAAATTTTTAACTATAGAATATAATGGAAAACGGAAATTTATTTTCAAAACATCTTTCTCTGCGAAAGGACAAATCTTTTTTATTATTATTCTCTCTTCAAAGGTTTTGTTGTCCCCGGGGGAAAGGGGTGGGGCTTCTTCAAAGATTAAAAGCAGAAAATAGTCATTTTATTACCTATTTCAAATGGGAAAACAAATAAAAAAAATTAACAATGTACTTTATCAACCGCATATTTTGAATATACATAAGATAAAACATATTGGTCATTTCATTCAATTCAATTTTACCGGGTGACCCCCTTGGAAAAAATATCCTGGATCCGTGCCTTTTTTTCCTTTTTTGTGAAAATTCATGTAAATATCAATACAAATATAAAATTTATTCAAATATGTGTGGCAGTTGGCAGTAAGCAGCTGACAGTTGGCAGTAAGCAGTCAGCAGTTGGCAGTAAGCAGTTGGCTGTCGTATATGGCATTCCATACTCTGACCGAATTAAGTCAGGTTTTACAATTAGTAAGAAAAAAACATACAAAAAAAATAATAAAATTTTTTTTTTGGCATATTTCGGTCATATTTCAATATCCAAACCTGTGTCAAGAAGAGTAACTTTTTACCAATTCACTGTACGAATTTGTAGGGAGTGCTTTGTCCTTACTCCTTATATCGTATCTACTTTAAAATTTTTCTTTTTATAAGTTTTGAACAGTTGAACATATAAATACTTTTGCATCTTTTCATCATACATGACCAAAAACTGTCTTTCTACAGAGTCCTAGCTCCTGAACTTCTCTGACAGCTTTCGCATAACCATTAGCCCGTTCTATAATTTAAGAACTCAACATGATTGAGATTCTCTTGTAAATGCACAATAAAGTTCATGAATTTCAAATTTTCAATTTTCACTCTGTGGTGGTAATTTGGAGGCAAGATGTTTTGCAACAACAAAAACAAAAATGATTCCAGCCAGGATCATGAAACAGACTTAGACTTAAACTTGTCAAATTTTTAATTGCCTGTAAAATATGTTAATTCATTATTTAACGAATCCTTAATTTTGCAAATAACAACACTTAAATGTAAAGCAATATTAAAATACAATTTAATTTTTGTCAACTTAACTTTATCAAAATTCTATTACAACATGAATACTTTGACTAAAGATGTTTCATGATCCTGAGGTCATAACTTCTTTTATTTTTTCCAGTATTAGTCTGTCGTATTTTGGGAACATGATCAACGGTGCCCTAGCTGCATGTATATATGTGCAATAATAATATAATTATTGGGAGTGTCCTAGATGTGTAATTATGTTTTAGAACTTCAATTCTGAAAGGTCTATCTTTACCTTTACCTAATTTCAAAAATCGACTCACTGTCTGGGTACATATGTTATAATTGAAAATAAATACATTAGCTGTTTTTTTTTTTTTAAACTATTCGTATTTTTCAAAGAAATCAAAAACACGGCACAAACTTGGGATAAAATTCAGAGATCAGCCAAAAAATGTAATTAGCTAAATTTGTACCAAAAGTAATTGTCTAAATATAAATATATGTTATACATGATTAATTAATTTCATGTGTCAGAGGAAAAGAGTGTGACACTTAAACTACGTAGTATATCTCTTTTTAAAAAGTAATATCTTTTAATCTTCACCTTTCTCTTAAGTACAAGTCCACATAAAAATCAGACAAAACTGTAAAAAAGTGATACATGAAGGTTTTCAGAATTTGATGATTTTCCACTCATAGATTTAATTTGAAGTATGAACAATGTATGTAAAATGAAAAATGTTTTGAGTCATGGTAACCATGGAAACCCGGCCAAAGAAATTTCCTTAGCAACCGGCAGATTTTTCAGTGTT